TAGTCTCAAGTTGGTTAACATTTCTGAATCTACTACTTTTACTACTTTTAGAATTATATTGTAGTTGTATGGTCATTCAGATCATACCTTCAAAAATATTAACATGTGTATTTGAAAATAAAAGACATTTAATGCTTGGTAGAATTGTATTGTTATCTTGTTGATCCATCCTGACAATCTTATGTAAACAATATGTGTTACGAAGAAGGTTACAATCATTATTTGTACAATGTCGACGCAACAGGTGTCGCTCCTTTTAGATTCATGCGATCCCTATGTTTTTGTTTTTACCTTGATCTGTATTTATTGATTCATGAGATTTGAACATCAGTAAACTAACTCCTGTATACTTTTTTTTCAAATCAAGCTTTTCCATATTGGATGCAGACTTAAGATACAGTCAAGTGTTGATCATTAAACAAATGTAGCATCTGTCGAAGTGCCATGTGAAATCTAAATAATTGCTTTTTCAATGAATAACAAAATCTGAAATTAATATATATATACATTAACTAATGACTAGTCAGTTAACTTAAGATTTTGCAACACGAACCGCATGTACATTCTCTAACTAACTTAAAAAAAATCTATCAAACTATAACGAATGTAAAGTTTAAATTGAAAATACGAAAACTCTTTTAGAACTTACTTTCATTCTTCAATTTCACACAGGTGTCTATCGATTATTTCAAACTATAAAACGTCCACTCTCTAAGATTGGTGGATAAATAAAAAACAAAATATTTCTACCATCATTACAAACTTTATCAAATTACTTGGGACATGAAAACCCAAGTTTTCACAGTTGCTGTGTAACTAAACTTTTTATATCACATCAACCCGTTCATTTAGTATAATCTCGATGAGTGGACTATAAAATACACAAAATAAGATGCAATCAGAACAGAAAAAAATTCACTCTTAAATAAGGGTATACTTAATAACAGTAATAAAGAATGGTCGCAATAATAGCAAACTCTGCTACTCCTATATTGGCAAATTTAGTTCAAAGATGAGTTCACACAGCAATGACATACATGCTTAAGACAGATACGGTCTTGTACAATGTTGAAAACGATTTTTTCAGAATAACAATGTAGAACTATTGATTAGCAAACTGATGTTTATCCAAACAAATACCAGACGCAGTAATTGCACAAAAACAGTTTAATTATAACCTTCTGATTTCATTAATCAGTTTTTACAGCCAAAAAAAAAAATAAATAAATGACATTTCCTAATCGTGTTAGCTTTATAAATAATGATACCATCATACTATGGATGCAAAATTCCACTTATTATTACATCCTTGCATATGTTATCGTCTTTCTTTTAGGCTTAAAACTTGGGACTTATTGATAACGGCATGCGAGTATTAAAATAATTTAAACAACTTAAGATACTGTAATAGCATATCTCACATTTAAGTCCTTGCAATGAATAAGTGTCTGTTTGTTTGTTCTTTTGTATATGGTCAAATTTTGGGGGAATCATTGCAACATGCAATCAGCGCATTTTAATCGAGAAAATCTTGGCAAGACACTATGCATTCGCATGAATCCACTAGTTACAATGTAAAATTAACAAATAATGACAATATTAATAAATTTCAATTTAGTATAAAGCTTTTGTCGATGGAAAGCAGGGGGTCTCGGTAGCCAAGTGGTCTATGTAGTGCAACAACTGATTCACTAGCCTGTCAACACTGCGGTTATCAGGTCGAATCCCGCATATGGCAGGTGCATTTGACTCCAATCTTAACGAATTAGTAGTGTCAGTTTTCCTGGCGAAGGTCGGTGGTTCTCTCCCGGCAGCACCAATAAAAACTGACATCCAGGAAATAGCCAATAGTGCTGAAAGTGGCGTTTATCAATTAATCAATTAATTGAAAGCTCTGAAGAAAATACCACCCTTAAAATGACTGAAAGGAATTTCTAGTTGACTTTTATCATTATAATTTCCAAATTTTACATTCGTTCAAGTTTTAGGTCAAGAAAAAAACCCCGAAAACAACACTTTATAAATTTCATGCGTCCGAACCGCTTTTCTGGATTTATCTTCAATCTTGGAATTTTTGAAAGCCAAGGATGTTTAAGAATCAAAACAGTTGAAGAGCTATATGACCAAAAAGGGCCTAACACTATCTCTATCTAAGGTCAACTTTGCCTGAGGGAGTTAAAAACTTAGTTTCTTAATAATTTTTAAATCTATAAACGGACGATGTGAGAAAAGTTTGATATAAATCATGGCAGTACCGAAGTACTGAATACTGAGCTGGTGATACTTTTGGGGACTGATAGTCCACCAGCAGCGGTATCGACCCAGTGCTGTACAAAAATTGAAACAACGCTTTATAAATTTCATGCGTTCGAAGCGCTTTTCTGATGAATTCTTAATTTGTAAATGTTGAGAGGTGAGACTAAATAAAATATTGGCTTGTCCTGTCTTGTCTCAATACCAAATTTTCATAATGACAAAACATTGAGATAAAACAACAGGCAGATGAATATATGTCGGGTTAAAAACACCAATTCCTGGATCCAGATATTTGATAGTACAATGCACAATGCCTCTTGTGGATATAATAAATCCTTTACGATGAATTGCAGTGAGGGGATGGATTCTAAAGAAGGCAAACTTATCTAAGTTCAAAGAGTGTCTACTGGAAAATCTTGATACAACCCACATTTCAGACTAGTGTTGTATGCATAACATGATATATAACTCTACTTGTTTTAATCAAACTGTTAGTCCGGCTTGATAAGATGATTCCTGTATATTCACATTTTTTTTGCGGAGGACATCATAACCTAATCAGCGATCGTTTCACCCGTGAAGAAATATTATCGAATTCCTAATAGAGGTAATATCCATACATAATTGATAAATCCTGAAGCTTTACGATTTGATAACTTTAACATACGGAGTAATTATAAAAGCATGGACAAAGAAAAGAAACAATCACAGAGGAATTAGTCACGAGAATTGACCATATTCTCTGTCCATCGATATATTTGATATTTTAGATTGTATCCCTGGAATTAGTAACAATCTGAATTAATACACATATTACAAAGCTTGTCACGTAAATGAATGAATATTTGGGAAAATATTGCTGAAGAGAAAGCCATAGCTTATCTACCAGAATTATTGTGGAGTAGTTTTTAAAGTCGGATTGGTCAACTATATGAAATTAAGTTCTAGTATACTGTAACATATACCTTTATCTGCAGTCTTATTAGATTTTTTTTTTTATTTTTGCATTTTGTTGTAACGATGAAAGTCCTATAACTCTTGAAAGACAAATCTGGAAATGAGAATAAATTGCTTCACGTTAACGGTAAAACAGTTAGAGCTTGTATTTATAGAATCAAAGATTTTGATGTAAATATTTATAAATCAAATTTGACTTTTGATGTAGGGTGCTCCGAATTCACGAAGTTTTACGACAAGAAACCTTAAACGACAAATCTGTCAAGATAAAAAAAAAACTGACTCATTAATACAATAAAATATAATGTTTGAGATCGTTGAGATTCTTAGTTTCGTAAGACCTTGTTGGATGAACGAACGGACATTAAAAAAAAATATGTTTTACCTGTAGTCGATGGGCATATTAAAAGTGAATATGCCGTAAATAAATATTACAAATCATACACCGAGAAGTTCTTTAATTTCTGAGTTGAAATAATTTGATGAAAACAGAAAGGAAGCTCAAACCCAGTGTCCGATTGTACAAAGAAAGAGAGTATTAGCACAAAATTATTCATTGTATTATAGTGTTCAGAGTAATTTTGGGGGTTAAAATTGTGTAATATATTGTCTTAAGCTAACGGTTTTAGCTTTCAATTTTACTTAAAATAAAAATTGCTGTCCGATTATCAGAAAAATCGACTATTTGTTGTAGGCAAAAAGAAATGAACGCGAATAAGGCAACACTAACAAAAACCCAAAACATTTACAAGTAAAGTATTCAATGTTGGACGAACACTATCACCGTATGTCAAGCTGTAAAGCAATATCGCTTAGTGGATATAGGATTTAAGTAATTGGTCAGACTTAAAAAGAACTGCCATCAAATCCACGAAATTAAAAAACAGTGAAAAACCAAAACGATTAACCTTGACAATAAAGACTCCTTACCTGGGCAATCAATATTTAAATGTGGCAAAGTTAAAACAGTTTGTCTTATCCCTTCATCAATTCATTAAGAAGAAATAAATATGAGATAAGCAAAAAGTACTTAGTTACATCATTCAAATAGGTATTACAGACTATAGAGCACACATACTAAATATCACATGTTATGCGCTGGTGGTTGTTCCACAGGGCAGTAGTATGCGTCTAGTGTGGTTGTTTTTTTTATGAAAATCAGCTGCCGCTGGCTAGCCTACATATGTGAGCGAAGAGAGAGCCGAGTGAGTAAGCCTCTCCTGTCAGTACATAACCTCTACACTGTCACGACTTCTACAGTGCCTCCCCGCGACAGCGCATGGTAACTGGGATCTAGTATCTCAGGCTTCACTGTAGGGGATCTTGGAGCAGCAAGGGCCCTTAAGATATAGAGTGTAGGCCCACCGATGTGTGGACACGCCCTAACTCTCATCAACCTTGCCCCAACTATGGGTAAATAGCCGGTTAGATGATGATTGTTAACCTTGGAAGGTAATTTATCTAAAAGAAAGAAAACTCCAAAATAAAAACGGGCACATAATGGTTCGTCAGCCTTGGTCGGCAACTTATCTAAAGGAAGGAAACCTCGACAAAAAATCCCTGGCCCTCCAAGTAGGGGGTTCGGCATAGGGCCAACAACTCTATCATGTAAAAAGATTTAAGTTACGGAAACAGCAACAAAGGAATCAAACAAAACCGCTGTGCGAATAGGCCTTCAAGAAAATAGTATGACTGCCAGTGGTGAAAGCCGCAAGGAAGCTGCTGGCAGGAATGAAATGCTGAGCGCTAAAGCAAAAACCAGAATAGGATTCTGGAATTTACGTACTATGTATGAAACTGGGAAACTTGCACAGGTCACATCAGAAATGAGGCGATATAACTTGCACATTTTGGGAGTTGGTGAAAGTAGATGGACAGGTTCTGGTAAAAAAAGGACAGACACAGGAGAAACAGATCTTTACTTAGGCAGAGATGACAACCATCATTTTGAAGGAGTAGCCATCATCCCCAAGAAAGGCACTGAGAAGGGACTTATTGAATTGAAACCTGATAATAGTAGATTGATAACAGCAAAATTGAAAGGAATACACACCAACATGACTATTGTACAGTGCTATGCACCAACAAATGACAGTGATGAAACTGTGAAAGACAATTTTTACGAACAACTTCAAGCAGAAGTGAGATATGTACCACACCATGATCTTCTGGTGGTGATGGGTGATTTGAATGCCAAAGTGGGAAACAACAACACTGATATGGACAGAATATTAGGTAAACATGGATGTGGTACTATAAATGATAATGGAGAAAGACCAGTAGAATTATGTGCAGCTTACAACCTGGTAGTAGGAGGAACACTCTTTCCACATCAAGATATACATAAATTAACATGGAATTCTCCGAATGGAAGGGATAAGAATCAGATTGACCACCTTATGATAAATGGTACTTGGAGACGTTCATTACTATATGTTAAAGTTAAGAGGGGAGCAGATGTTGGTAGTGACCATCACCTTGTTACTGCAAAAATTAAGATGAAATTGAGGAGTACAGGACGTAAAACACTTGTCCCTACACGTTATGATATTGAAAAATTACAAGATCATAAAGTAAAGAATGCATTCATCCTTCAATTGAAGAATAAGTTTCAAGCTTTGGCAGATAATCCTGACATGATCCCAGCAGAAACAACAGAAGTCAACTCAAAATGGGATCAAATAAGAACAATATACGAAACAACTAGCGAGGACTGTCTGGGTTTTGAACATGGTAAAAAGATGAAGAAATGGATAACACCAGGTACTTGGAAGGTTATAGAAGAAAGACGTCATATGAACAAGAAGATACTAGACACAAAATCTAAAAGGCTACAAGAAAGACACAAAGCAAGCTACAGAGTACTAGACAAAAATGTTAAGCGATTGGCTAGAGCAGACAAAAGAGCTTACATGGAAGACCTTGCTAAACAAGCTGAAGAAGCAGCAGAAAAGGGTGAACAGGGAAAAATTTACAAGATAACAAGAGAAATCTGTGGCAAAATTTCGTAGCAATAATGATGTCCATATAAAAGACAAAAATGGAAGGCTGTTGACAAAAGAAGGCGAGCAAAAAGCCAGATGGGCAGAACACTTTAAAGAAGAACTTAACAAACCACCTCCAGATGACGAAGCAATAATAATTGAGGCAGTTCAAGATTTGGAAATAAATATCAACTTACCAGACATACAGGAAATAATAACAGCAATAAAATCGTTAAAAAATGAAAAATCACCAGGGCAGGACAATCTGAATGCAGAACTTTTCAAAGCCGACACAGAACTTACAGCTGAAATTCTTCAATCACTATTTACATTAATATCGAAAGGAAAAATAATACCTGACGATTGGACAAAAGGCATAATAATAAAGTTAGCCAAGAAGGGAGCTCTAAGTGACTGCAACAACTGGCGAGGTATAACCCTCTTGTCAATTCCAAGTAAAATCATGGCCAAAATTATTATCCAAAGAATAATAGATGCAGTTGATAAACAGCTAAGAGAGGAGTAAGCAGGATTTCGTAAAGGTAGAGGATGCATTGATCAAATATTTGCTTTACGTAACATCATCGAACAATGTACAGAATGGCAAAGGCAGATTTACATCAACTTTGTGGATTTCCAGAAGGCTTTTGACAGTATCAACAGAAAGAGCGTGTGGCGAATACTTAGAGCATATGATTTCCAAAAGAAATAATAGAGCTTATCAAAAGTTTCTGCAACAATTTCACTTGCAGTGTAGGGCATAGCAACATCTGGTTTGAGGTAAAATCAGGAGTTAGACAAGGATGTGTGATGTCTGCTCTTCTTTTCAATTTGGTCATAGACTGGGTAATGAGAAAAACAACAGAAGATGCTCCAAGAGGAATAAAAAAAGATGGAACATTTCCTCAACAATAGAAGATCTTGATTTTGCTGATGATCTGGCTTTTTTATCACATACCCACCACCATTTACAAGAGAAGACCAACCGCCTTAATACTTTTGCCAGTCAAGTTGGACTTAAAATCAGCCAAACGAAAACAGAAGTCATGACCCTTAACATCAATAACCCAACTCCTATCCAAGTAGATGGAAAAGATTTTCCCATCACAGAAACATTTACATACCTAGGAAGTACAATAAGAAACGATTGAGGTGCTGGAAATGACATCATGAACAGATTAAATAAAGCCAGAAATATATTCAGATCACTAAACAATGTATGGAAATCATCACAGTACAGTAAGCGGACCAAACTAAAACTGTACCAGAGTTGTGTATTATCTACTCTGTTATACGGATCAGAATGCTGGAGGATGACAGAAGTCGATCTAAACAAACTGTCAGTTTTTCATACCAAAAGCTTAAGAAGAATCCTGCGCATTTTCTGGCCAAACAAAATATTCAATGAAGATCTTCTAAGACAGTGTCATCAAGATAGCATGGGTACAATATTAATGAGAAGACGTTGGAAATGGATTGGACATGTGATAGGAAGAGATAAAAATTCAATAACTAGAACGGCATTACATTGGACTCCAGAAGGAAGGCGCAAGCGAGGAAGACAAAAAAACACATGGAGACGTACTGTAGAAGGAGAACTGAAGACCATGAATAACACATTGGGAACAGTAGAAAAGATGGCTAAAGACAGACAAAAATGGAGAACCTTTGTTGCTGCCCTACATGCCAATGGCATACCGGGCAGTAAGTAAGTAAGTACATGTCACAGAATGCTCGACATTTCATAAAGCAAGCTCTAAGTGTTCTTATTGTGTGCAATACTTTTGTGAATGATGCAATGAAATTATGAAATGAAATATTTATAGTTTAATACAAGCAATATTTTATACGCCGATGGGAATGATTATACAGTGATATTTCTCTGTGTTGCACTGTGTCACTGTGCGATACCACAATCATGTTCATAGTTGTAGAATAAATACTTTCTGCGTGTTCGTTGCTATCGAGCTATTGCCATCATTTTGTGTCCATCTTCCGTTAACTTCTACTAAAATCTTCTCTGAAACTACTGGGCTAATTGAAACCAAGACAAGCCACAATAATTATTAGAGTTTCTAGTTCAAACGCTAAACTTTTTGTGACGTTGATCCATTCATGTGACGCGCAGTTTATATTTCGTTTGTAGTGTCCTGGTGTGCTGTCGTAAATTCATGGTAGGTATCCGTTGTTATTCTGCGGTTTACATGTTGTAATGTACTATTATATTATTTATTTATGTATTTCTCTGTGCTGAGTGTTCTTGGGTTTGTTTGCACTGTATTCCTGTCACGTAGTGTTGTCGTTTTAGAGGTATTTTTAACATTGCCATATGCGCGGGAGGCTTGGCTAGCCATAAAACCAGTTTCAATCCACGATTTTTCTTTAAAATGTCCTGTACCAAGTCAGGAATATGACAGTTGTTATCAGACAGTCAGTTTCTATGTATGCTGGCGTTTGCTTTTGTTGTGGTTCAGTGTTTCTGTTGTTCCGTTGTTTTCCTCTTATAGTTGATGTGTTTCCCTCGGTTTTAGTTTGTTACCCGGATTTGTTTTTGCTTAATTGAATCATGACTATTGAACAGCGGTATACTACTGTTGCCTTTATTCATCATAGATACCAGGATTAAAATTTCATTACGCCAGACACGTGTTTCGTCTACATAAGACTCATCAGTGACGCTCTAATCAAAAATTTTAAAAGGTAAAAAATCCCTCTTGTGGATAAAACTTCTTGGAAACAAAATGTTTGGTGTAGGTATATGGAACAACAAGTTTAGTTTTATATTTAAAATAATCAGGTATTGCACAGATATTTGATGGAAAATATTGCTATTATTTGTGGTATACGAACCCTTATTTGCAAATTCTACAGGAAGAAAACGACATTTTTCGTTATCTTTGGAAGTAATTGTCCTTCTATAATCCTGACTTTCTTAAAAACAACGGAATGGTAAGTCTAATGAAAGTGTTTATAGAGAAATTTATTGTTCTCAGGATCATTAAAATTAGACCGGTGATCATTCATTCTTACGTTAAGTCTTTGCCATGTTTCACCGACATATATCAGTCCACAAAAAGTACACTCAATATGATGAGTATTGACTGGTCACTGATGAGTCTTTTGTAGACGAAACGCGCGTCTGGGGTACACAATTATAAGCCTGGTATCTTTGATAAGGTTTTTTTCAATACCAAATACAATTTTAGAAGGAGTACAATTCAGATCATTATGACCACTTGTATTGTAACATTTGGTGTTTAAGTTACTTTGAAAATAAGTATCCGTAATGAGTATACCACAAGTTTAACAGTTTTTACGATTACAATTAGAAATGAAACAATGTTGCAAGATGTCGTTGAAATCTGATATATTTGAAAGATGAATAGAAAAAGGGGTGAATATTGATAAACTTGTGTGAATATTTGTAGTACAAAAAGGAATCTGAAGACTGCACAAAGGTCGTGTTCTCGTCATATTTTAAGATGATCCTAGAGACACCTATTATATTCGAAGCTGTTGTGTCCTAGACAACATCCGATTGACACCTTTCTATACTTTGCTACTTGCCATCCAGTATATTGGTTCTTTTTGTAACACTTCACATGCAGTTAAGCAACTGGGCTGGTAGAATCCTCGGAGACATAACTATCCCTTAGAAGCGATTCCGACCCGGTATGATAAATTAAGGCAACAGTAGTTTACCAATGTTCAAATCTCGTAAATCGTTTAGGAAGAGACAAATCAAGGCAACAAACAAAAACTGTGGGAAAAGCATGACCTCCAAAAAGAGCGAGACCGGGTGCGTCCTGCTATGTATTCATCCCCAATCATAAGAATTCACACCCAGTCAAATGTCACAATCAGGAATAGTACACAATCGGATAAATCTGGAATACCGTTAAGACAACTTTGCTTTAGACTAGTCAGTAGTATAGAAGAAAAGATTTTTATCTGATGAATTAAAGGATATGTCAGGTATACGTCAATGACACAACAATCCATCGACACTAAACAAATAAGTTTAAAGATGAGCAATTACAAAAGACAATACTGGTTCAACTGATCTTTACTTTCGTACAAATCCGGCTATAGACGTAAAGATTACAATATTCACAGAAGATCACAGAAAAAAAGTATTTTGTAAGCGTTTTCTCATTTCATATTAATTCAGACAATCGTGCAATTTGTACGACAAAAGTACAGTCAAACTCCTGTGTTGTCGCACTAATGGACAATCGGACTAAAGGGATATGAACTATTGAACTGTTGGATCCATTTCATATATTTCGTGCTAAGTAGCTTATTTAGAACAGTACAGGATCCTGTTTAATTACCATAGTTTACTTGTATTTCTATATTTTCATTTGAATAAAAAAGTTCTACAACACTGTGGTTCAAAAATTTTTGATGACAAACTAAAAAAAACAATATCTGAATGTTATATGTTCTTTATTTGAAAATATTATTAATTCGTATATTTTAACTAATTTGATTTGTTCAGGAATAGTCACATGTTAAACTATATTTTCGAAGGTAGACAGAAAACGGCTGATAGCAAAAAGCATATTGCATAGCAAAAAGCATATTGCACGGTTATTTTTAGAATATCTAAAAACCGATATACTTTGTGACGTCATGTAATGAATTTCATGATATTGTTAAAAGTTTTATTAAAAAATATCTTTGATCGATTGTTTGAAGAAAAAAAAATCTTCAAATAAATAAGATGTTAAAAAACAAACATAAAAAATAAATGAAATAACAACTAATATGTTGTTATTGTCTAGGAGACAATATGATATCTATAAATTTCCAACAAAATCAAACGACGATTTTCATACAAATATGGTCGGAAATTAATAATATAACAATTATAGCCTATGTATGAGGTCAATACAGGATATATCGACCCAAAGAAGTATATCGACCTCGGACTTCGTCCTCAGTCAATATACTTCTTTCAGGTCAATATATCCTTGTATCGACCTCATACCAAGGCTATAATTGTATAGTGTTGATCTTAGAAT